TGTGAGCACGGCATCTGCATTTCGGAGAAGTCAGGGCAAAAGCTTCACCTTGCTGAATCACACAGATTTCGTCTTTCCCTTCAGTTTTTAACAGTAGGAAATAGATTAGAAATATTTTCCTGTTGCTGTGCTCTAAGAGTCACTGGGTATTCATAGTTGTTATCTATTTATTTAATATTTTCCTAATCTAATAATGGTTTTAAGGGGAAAACTTGAATGGTGATACCCTTACAATTTAAAATAGTAAACTTAATATATAGCTTTTATAGCTAATGTCTTTGTATACGTAGATTATTCATATCCTTGGAATGGTGATAGAGTTTTCATCTACAAATATAAATCTTATCTTCCATGTACGCACACATGTGGAAAATTTAAAACGGTTTCTTTTTATCTTTCTGCAAAAAAAAAAAAAAATTGTATAGTGCTGGGGAATTTATGCCTACAGGATCCTCTTCAGATGATGTAAATAAGCTGCTGAGAAGGACCTCGTCGGGGAGCCTGTTCCTGGATGTGTGGATCTTGTCCTGTCCTCCTATAAAAGCTGTTGACACAAAGCAGTAGTTTTACATGTTGAAAAGGCTTAAAAGGAATATTTCAGTGAAATCTTTTATAGACCGAATGTTTTCCCTTCGCTTTCAAAGCAATGGTCAACATACCTGGAATCTTGTTTTAGTATTCATTTTTGTTTTTTCTTACCAAGTCAGTTATTTTTTTTAAATATGCATGCATTTGTTTTTATTGACTCCCAATTGTACCATGAGGACTTAGGAAAATTATTTAATGAGAGTTAAAATAGGATGCAGTAGCAGCATAGGAATACTGAGGTTCCCATACTTCTATCACCGAAAGGATATATAAAGTGCCCATAGAGTGTTTGGCACCTTCCTGAAGAACCCTGTCACTCTTATTTCTCACTGTCTACCCTGTTTGGTTGGCAGGGGCGTGTTCTGTGCAAGGCAGTAATTTGCTTATGGCTCTGTGGTATTGGTCAGCAGACTTAGTTCTGGAGTGTGATAGGGCTGAGTGAGACCTTGCTATTGTTGGCTGCGGGCTGTAGCCTGAGTCCTTACTCTCCCTATCCTTCAACATGTACCTTTGCTCCTAACCTCCCTGCTTCACTCTTTCTGGTCAAACACAGACAGGAAGCACTGAGCTGATGTCGCCCTCATCTCTGGGTTTCTATTACAACCCCACTGAGAGATGCATTCTGAGAATCCACTTGGCCGTCTCCCCAACATGCCTTTTGGCACAAATCCTCAAATAATGTATGCCACCAAGCTACAGTCCATTCCTAGGCCCCAGGAATCCAATACTAAATCATAAATGTCTAAGGATTCAAAAGTGAATCTCTTCTACCTAGCTGAAGTAGAAGAAGCTCTGTAAAATATACTTTCCATTTCACTCCCTGTCTTCCCATCCTGCTTTGAGTATGGGAACATCGTGACCCAGGAATAAGATAATATTTTCAGAATTATTTCATTTGTATGAAAACCAGCATGTTTATGAGCTGAATACAATAGTTTCTTTCCACTATGAATAACTAACAAACTTGTATGTGGAAATCACTTTTTCTGCGGTAGAACAATGGGTATGGATCTAATTGGGTGGGGACCTGAGAGGAAGACAGAGCAGATGAATGAATCAACATAGAAATAGTAAAAGGTTCTGATCCTTAGGGAGGAAGGAGGGAAATAACAAACCCTGTTGTGCTATATTTTATCAGTTATGTCTGCTGAGGAATTAGGGTCAGGACCCAGAACTTTGCTGTATCTCCTGGTGTTTGTTTCAGTTCAGCGGTTGGGGGGGGTTTCTCCTTTGATGGGTCATTTCCTTCTCTCCTTTCACATTCCAGGCTGCATTAAGATGTCAAATTTCACTTATAGGTGGGGGCACAGACACAAAAACCTGAGCCATTCAGCTAACTGAGGGAGTGCAGAAGAGTGGATTTATTGTGCAGAGAAAGGGAGTGTTTGAAGTACAAAAAAAAAATTTTGCTGGGCAGGCTTTGCAAGAGCACACATCCTATGGCCTGCCTGCCCCAGCCACAGGGCCTGAGCCTGCCTCTCAAAGGTGGACGGGAAATGTTAAAGTAATTAAGAAACTTCTGTCAGGCACACACGCACCCAGATTATGCGGCAGGCACATGAAACTTTATTTTAGGGATAAGCTTATGAAAGTGTTTGCAGAAATGTTTAGGGTGAGCTAGGTAGAATAAAGTTCTTGGACTCTTCTATCTGTGAGCTCTGCAGTAAGTACTTCGCTCCTCCTACCCTGCCTTTAGAAAGGAGGAGAAAAAAAAAAGTTGGACAGCAAAAAGTAAGTCCATCAGATCAAACATGACTGCGTTAAACACTAAAATGTTCAAAGTCCGACTGAGATAGATAAAGGCTTTGATGGAAAGTGGATATTTCCCAGGGACATTACAAGCAATAATCCAGATGTTATGGTGTAAGGCAACGAGCGTCCATGGGTAGATCAGGAGCTCCAGCCAAGCCGCGCCTGATACCGGCCTCAGCTTTGCCCTCCCATGCTGTTCTGCCATATGGAACCTATCTCTGGGCCCCCTTAATAACCAGCTTTGGATTCCATTTTCACAGAGCTCATAGAGCTAAGTGGAGCTGTTTTATGGACAAGTTAGATAGAAGCCTTTCCAAGATAAACATCCAATTTGAAATTAGGACATACCAAGCTGCAAAATTATTTTAGGGCATATTTCATGGAAGTGCTGCCATTTTTCTTAGGCAATTGCCAGACTGTAGGATGCCCTTTGATCCTCTGTGGACATTACTCCCTTCTTTATAAAAAGGATTTTGAAATAGTTGCCGTGTTTAGGGAGGAATATATCTGTCGGAGCTTTGAAGCATGGCCGTGGGACAGTTCATGCTTTAGCTTATTGGTTGGCAAGTCAAACTTTTAAGAAGAAAAGAAAGCAAAACAGGGATTTGTAGCAGGATCTATGAATCAAAATCTCATTTTCGTTGGAAAGGTAGAGGTTTTGAGCTCATGTACTTAATGAGCTATGAAATAAATTAAGTACATTCTACATCTGTGTACACATCCAAGGATGAATGCAAACGTACATGTGTGTATATTATGATGTTTTAAACAAATACAGAGCTCCTTCATTTTATGATTTCATAAACATTCATTATTAAATATATTCTATCTGCGATCTAGCTCCTATTCTTTCATAGAAGTTAAAGAATTACTCATGTCTGCTTTGAGATGGATTTCAAAGTCATTTCTTTCCCTACTCACCTTCCCAGCTTTGTGTCAGCACCTGTAAAATCTGTGTGTGTGTGTGTGTGTGTGTGTGTGAGAGTGTGCTTGCTTACCCCTGCACGCAGGAGGAAGATTAGGAGAAAAGTTGAAAGGATACCCAGTTTGGGCGTAACATTCCTTAAAAGTATTTTGTTTAAAGTTGTCATAAAATGATCCACGAAACACCTGGTAAGGCATTGTTGGATTGTTTATAGAGTGATAGAGTGACGTGGGCTGGTGAGGTAAGCTGTGTAATTACCGCGGCCCTGACACGCTATTTGTTGTGATGAATTGTGACCGACTGGGATCCAAGCAAGTTGCTGTGTAAATGATCTCGAAGACATTATGAGCAGATGACAGGAATGAATAGAGAATGTGAGAAATCCATTGCTTTGCTGTGGTTCTCGGCACCATTTACCTTCGTTAGCCCATTTATTTCTCCTTTAAATAAAAAATTCTCTGCTTGTACCACTTCCCTTACTAAACAGAGAACATAAATGGGCTCTTCCAACGAAACACAGAATGTGGGTTAGGTGGGGACCCTCACTGAAGCAGAGTAACCTGGGAAAAATGTCACTGCGACCACCGGGCTTGTGACTGTGCACAGGGTATTTGATGATTTTAAGACAAATTACGGGGGCTGGGGATTTAGCTCAGCGGCAAAAGCGCCTGCCTGGCAAGTGCAAGGTCGTGAGTTCGGTTCCCAGTACCGGAGAAAACCAAAAAAAAAAAAAAAAAAAAAAATAGTTTTAAGACAAATTACGGTTAATTTTGTTAAGAGTGATCATGCATGATGGTTGTATAAAAGTAAATATGGCTTTGCTTTAAAACACTCCAGCCAGAAAAAAAAAAAGATGAAGGCAGAGCGGAAATTAAAATATTGGCAAATACTGGCAAAATATTCAATCTGATGAATGAGTATATAGTGATTTACTATTCTATTTGTGCTCTTCACCCTTTTGTATGTTTAAACATTTATATGATGGCAATTAAAAAATATCATGACCATCATGTTTATCAGCTAATCATAGAGGATATTTGTCGTTTTTTCTTTATTGTCTTTAAGGTGCATATGAGTGCTTAGAAGTCATATAATTTAAAAAGAAAAATACTACGTTAACAGGTATGGAGTCCCTCCAGGTCCCAGGTGCCGTGAGATGCATTCTGTACATTCTCCTCCCATCAGGCACCATCATAGCTGGCTTGCTTGATATGCAAAGCTCCTGTGACCGGCCAGGCCATTACAAGCCACACATGGAATTTGAATCTTACAGTGATATAGGATTTGTTAGTGGTGGTCTGAGGAATAAGGGAAGTAGGGACAGAGCCAAATGTGATACATAAATTCAAGGTCATTATTTCTAAATGCTCAGAAGTATTTTGCCTTATTCTTATATCTCTGTTTCCCAGAATGCCTTTCTTCCCTTCCTACTATTAAAATAGCCAGAGGCCCAAGTTTAAGGATTCCTAGCAAAGAGAGCTTCTGGATGGGACTGGAGATCATTGCCAAAGTGAAGTATTGGTTAAACTCATCCTGTGCTATATTGTTATGAGCCCAAAGCTTCAGAACTAAACCACATAATTGCGGGCTTGCAAAAGCCATGAAGAATAACACTTCTCACCAGGCAGGGAGGGATTTTACAGTCAAACCCTGAAAGCTGGGATTCCTATGATCACCAGAATCCCTCTCAAGAAGTACCAATGAGTTCACATGTCGTCTTTATTTTTTCCTCTAGTCCTCTTTGATACGCAACCTACGGCTCTCAGAGTCCTTGAAAAAGAATCAGCTCTGGAATGGGATTATAAGTATAACTTTGTTGGAAGGGAAGAATGTCTCAGGAGGAAATATGACCGAGATGTTTGTTCAGTTAAAACTGGGAGATCAGAGGTACAAAAGTAAGGTAAGTTTTGTCAATGCTATAAAGAGGATAATATATTGCAGAATTAAAAATAATTAAAAACTGCTTTGTTCTCTAAATTTTACAGGAATAGAAATAATTTAATTTTAGCTGTCCTAACTAAAGAACTTCCCAGAAAACAAAATAATGATATAGTGGCAGTCAGTTAATATTGGAGCTGCTTTGATTGCTTAGAGTACTATATTTTAATATGGTAAGTCAGAGCTAGAGAAAGCTCATTAAATCATAGGTTACAACACATGATTTATTTTTGTCCTGGAAACAAGCAAAGTATGTTTCATAGAATGTGGGAAAAGGATAACTTGAAAACCATACAAAAAATAAAATAGCATACTACTTGTTATGCTATGTGTAAAATACACGAGATAGCTGAAAACATTTTCAAAATTATATACTCTTTTCTCTCTCTCATTTAATAGTCTTTACACCAAAAATAGTTTTCTATTGTTGCAAATTTTGCGTGATTTATAAAAAAATATATCTAAAGTATTAACACTGAAAGTAACAACATTTTGACTGTTTTTAAAATGAGCCGTCTTATTCTGCAAATCTAAGTTCCATTTAATTTTTAATCTTAGTAAATTTGGTGTGGATTCTATTTCAAAGCCATCGTCTCCGAACCATGCAAATTAATTTGTTTTACATAACTGTCAGACAGGAATATTGCCTATGTTTTATGAATTGGAAGAGCCAGGCTACTTGAAAGTTTTGTCACTTGCCAAAAGCCACATAGAAAAAAAAAATCAGTGGCAGATTTTGAAAATAGACACGAGAATATTTGCAACGCATTCTCCTCAGCATCTAGTTCATAGCAGATACACAGAGTATGGAAAATTCTTAGGGAGGCAAAGGGGTATCTGTTTTGTACAATTTTCAATGAAAAAATCAAATATTGCACGTCCTTTACTCTGCAAAAAGGAGTTGGAGGCTGAAGAACAGTTTACAAGAAATATGAAAAATTTAGGGTGATTTATGTCAGAAATATGCACATAATCATTTTAAGCAGTTAGATGTAGGCTGTACCTCATAGGGAGCATATCTGAGGTGACAGCATTCTCTGCTAAGATTCCTGTAGCCGGCCATCATCAAGATGAGGATTTATGGAAAAATGATTTAACGTTAGGAACATTTAACCCTTTTGAGTAAGGTGAAGTGTAGAGTTAGTCCAATACCTACTACAGTCCACCTTGGGGAATATTACTTGTAATTTGTAGCTCTAGTTGGTCTTTTCATTTTCCTAGCTTCAAAATCTGGGATCTGATATGTTAAGCCTGATATAAAAGATGCTTAAGTGATTTTAGGTGATGTAGGCTATAGCAGATACCTGAGAAGCACATGTGTTTTCTCATGCAGGAAGAGGGCCATATCTGTAAAGCCCACCCTCAGTGTCCAATGGCACATTGCTTATGAGCACACTGATGCTCTGTAAATGAAAGTGGAAATCCTCCCGATCAACTAAACATGGACACAGTCTGAGGTTACTCTTAGGGAACACAGTAGCACTTGTGGGGGATTCAAACCACTCGTTAATTTTTAAGTGTTGCTTAAGTGGATTTCCTAGTCTTACTTCCACTTTAGTGTCTGGATTCAGTAATTTTGCATGTAAAAAATAAGGTAAAATTTAGGGTTTATTTAGGGTTCATTTAATAGATCTGACAAATGTTAAGACCCCAGTCTGTTAATTTATATAGTTTTAAGCAAGCAGTGTGTGTATATGCCAGCAAAAAATGTTACTTGAGTTTGATTAACCAATTAGTGTTATCTTCTGTAAGAAAGAACAATCGCAAACTATTTATATATGTTAGCTATATATACATATGTTTTTATGGCTTATTACAGTATTCTTTTTCACTTAGTGGGTAAATCATTGAATTTGGGGGCCTTCAAAATGAGTAGTGATCCTTACCTAATTCCTGAAACCTTAAGGCTCCTCCTATTCCAAAAACTTAACTTACTAAGAGGCAAAGCCCGGGGCTGGGGATTTAGCTCAGCAGCACAGTGCCTGCCTGGCAAGCGTAAGGCTGTGAGTTCGATTCTCAGTACCGGGAAAAAAAAAAAAAAAAAAAAAAAAAAAAAGAGGCAAAGCCCATCATTATGACCGCCTGCCATTTAGAAATGAAATTAATGTATAGTTGCAATAGCCATGAGTGCCATTTTAAGAAAATAAATATTATAACTGCATGTTTTCTAGACACTGTGTAAGAGTGCAAATCCGCAGTGGCAGGAACAGTTTGACTTTCACTACTTCTCTGACAGGATGGGCATTTTGGACATTGAAGTATGGGGAAAGGACGGCAAAAAGCACGAGGAGCGCCTGGGCACGTGAGTCCTCTCTGCTTCTCCTTGGTGGAAGTTTATGTGTGCGTCAGGCTGGGTCTCAGCCAAGCTTCTATCATTTTGGGTTGAGGGAATAATCTGTGTCACACTCATGGAGCCTGCAGTAAGCCAGACAGCCACTCTTAACTGGAGGAAGCTTCTGCTTTTTAATTGGTAAATGTCATTCAGTATTTGCAAACAATATTTTTTTAAAAAAAGAAGTCCAAGGCACCCCTCAGTGTCCAAGGAGGATCACTTCTGGATCCTTCCAGAAACAAAAACCCTAAGAGGCTCAAGTCCTTTACATAGAAGGATAAGATTTGCACACAACCTGCTTACATTCCCTTGGGTCCTTTAAATCAACTTGAGTATTTTTAATACTTCATATAAACTAAATGCTATATAAATAGTTGTCCTTTTGTGTTGCTGAGGGAATAATGATCCCCAAAATACCTATAAAAATGTTTTTGAACCAAGGCTGGTCGAGTCTGTGAATGTAGAAACTGTGTATTCAGAGACTAACTGTAATTTGTATTAAGAATTTTCTAAAGAAAGATAAGAGGCCATCTTAGGGTGTTTTGGTTTTATTTGTTTAAATTGCCAATACTATAGTTTGGTTTTGCTCCATAGTGAAATATCATAATTTAATAAAAGTATAAGACTAGATGTTTCCCATATTGAAAACTTTTTCATATCCCTGTTGTAATTTGTAGCAAACTCTAATGGAATCTATTGAAGCCAAACCCATCATCTTTAACTCTTCTCTACTTTGGCCCCTCAGAGGTAAACTGAGGTATTCAACCATATGTAATGAGCAACATAAGTGTTCCAGTTGGTTTGCAGGGTTCTAATGCAGAGCACAGTAAAATGAGATAGTACAGGTATTGTGACTGGCCCACAGTAAGCACAAAAGAGGTGCTTGTAGAATTACATGCCATCCCTGCTCTTCAGCACATTGTGCTAAATATATCATTTGGCTCATTTTGTAGAACAGGAAGTGGAGTACAAGAAGTTTACAGATGACCTGGCCTTACATTTAAGAACCTTGTGTTCCAAGACTCAAGATTATGTTTTTCCAAAAATAAGTTCTTTCCATCAAATTTTTGCCTATGAAAAAACAACTCCTGGGGCTGGGGATTTAGCTCAGCGACACAGCGCCTGCCTGGCAAGCTCAAGGTCGTGAGTTTGATTTCCGGTACCAGAAAAAAAACCAACAACAACAACAAAAAACCCAACCCCATAGGCATGCAATTTGCATAAAAATCTTAAAAGAAATAAACATTTAAAGAGAACTTAGCAGCCCTCAGGTTTTTTTCAAACCTGGAACCTGAGTTCAAGGAGATGCCCCGTAGTTACCCTTGGGAATGGGAGACTCTCCCCTTGTCCTTTTGGCCAGAGCATCTCAGCTTTTTGCCTTGTTCTTCCTTGGGAAATCCTTGAATAGAGATTTGTACTACTGAAAAATAAAGATTGGAATTCACTTGTTGACTACAACACCTGCATTTTACAATGAAGGAAAATAGGGGATCAGGGAGGTGAAATGTTTTTCCATCCTTAAAGAGTTTAGAGACAAAAAAGGCATGAGACCTAGCTATCAGTATCTCAGACAGGGCTTTTGTTCTGTGAAGTCCTCTGCACACGGTCTATTGCTGTCTGCTTTTCTTTTCTTCTTTTTTTGCTGTCCTTGCCCCATCTTGCTTCAGTAGTTTATGCTGAGATCAGTGGATGGGAAGCTCAGTACCCATAAGGCATTCTTCTGTTTCATGGCATTCTCCATTAGAAGATATTTTCAGCAAACCTGGTTCTTACCCACCTGATGCCAGTAACTCTGCCCAGTTATCGTGTGGAGAACCCGTGCTCCTCCACATGCACACATAGCACACCCACATTCCATCACGTATATCTGGAAACTGCCTGCGGGACCAGCATGGCCAGCTAACCCTGGCAGTTGAGACCTCTTTCCTTCATGCTCCCTAAGCCGTAACCTGAGTGGATCACTCAGCGTGATCTTTGTGCTCAGTCTGTGCCCATCCATGTGGTAGGCAGCACTCACTGCTTTAATGACAGTCCCTCTACACATGCAAGTCTGTGCATTCTGCTAGCACAATGGGCCGTGCCGCAGCCTTCACCTCAAGCAAGAGGACTTCATGGTCATTGTCTGCCATTGGTGGATGTGACCTTGCCTCTGCCATCTCTTCCCACACCCACACAGGGTACCTGAGACGCCTTACATACTTCTCAGTACCTCTGCTATTGTCACATCTGTGATAGATTGAAGCCCTGACCATCCCAACAGTAGGAGGATCAGAAACTTTGCATTAGCCCATGGAACAAGGATAAGTTACACAAATGCAGAGAACTCTGTGTCCCAAGTGTTATCTGAAAAGCGGGAATTTGGGCCCCAGTGATGAATGGCCGGTGTTATTTTAGTAGGTGCAAAGGACACTGCCCCTGCATTTCACAGGTCATTGTGTTGTCATGTTCCCAACACATCATAGGAAATGCTTTTCCAAATGAGTGTTGGGTTGCTTCACTGGGACAAAAAATAATTTAAGATGTCTCCTCTGTTCTATGTTTTGTCATTTGGGTATTCATTTATTATTTTAGCTTTTTCCTGTTTATATCTGAGAAATATACCTGTCTTCTGGCCATTCTGTCCTTCCTCTTTATGGATTTTAAAGGATTTTTTTGGTATCCTTTTCCTTTTTCCTCTCCTGTAGCACAACAGATAACAAAAGTATCTCTTGGGAGCTGGCTCCACAGCGTTACGGAGCAGTGGATGTGCAGGTGTGAGAACTTACACTAAAGCGTAATGCTGCTTTTCAGATTTAAAGAAGATCCTGTGTGTGTGTATCACTGGCAGATTACTCACTGCTTTTTCTTGTTCGTACTTTTGAAATATTTCAGCTTTTCTCCCACGATGCCTTTTTGGTGGTATTTGCTCTAAGGCTTAGCTGTTTCATGCCTCCACTGTTGGGAAATTGTCTTTTTACATCAAAGGTGGTCCAAGGGTGTGAATAAATGTGAACCATCTCCTAAAGCCCATCTCAGGTTTTGCTTTTGGATAAGACCTCTGTGTTAATAAGGTGAAGCTCTATAGATAGCCTCTCTGGGGCTGGGGATTTAGCTCAGTGGCACAGCGCCTGCTTGGCAAGCACAAGGTCGTGAGTTCAATTCCTGGTACTAGAGAAAAACCAAAAAAACCCCCCAAACTATAGATAGCCTCTCTGGGGACTCCTTTTCAAGGAGGATTCCCACTGTGGACAGATTGGCTAGGCACTCCTGAGTTGACCATTGGAAGTTTAGCTCCCTTTATCATGAGGTCACTCGCCAACATGCGGGTCATCATGATTAACAATTCCTGTGTCTATTGACATTGTCTATCATGAGTATTAGTTTTCACTTTGCGATTTCTTTTCATAGCAATCACAGATCTCTACAGTGTTTGAAAATAAATTGTACAATTGAAAGACATGAAACATAGCTAGAAGTATTCTTTTGAAAATAGGATAGACTTTGATTTTGTATTTTTTTGGTAGAAATGAAAGGTGAACATCTACAAGGCTAAGTGGCAGGGACAGCCAGTGACTGAAGAATTGAACAGTGTGGATTGGCTTGAGCGATACTGGGGCTTCGGTGTCATGGATGAAAAGGCTGGGTTAGTGACTGGCTACGTGAGGAGACCTCACACAGATGTTGTAGGCTGTTTACTCAGTGGTTTTTATACATGGCCCTGTCGAGCAATCAGTGCCTCCAGCACTCTTGAGTTACACAAGGGGTCTCTGACTTCCCTAGTGCCATAGTTCAGCCTCCTGCAGGCTCTGGCCAAGCTACAAGGTACTCTTAAGGATGCTGAAGCTAGCAACATAAAGGTGCTTTAGTGCCATCCAGCAGTCCCTGGAAGCATGTTGCCCAAATTCTGTGTATATTTATGGGCAAACACACAATGAAAGGTAGTCCTAGGGCTTTGTGCTGCTGAGGCATGAAGATCACAATTTTGGGGCAACTTAGCCATTTAGACACACACACACACACACACACACACACACACACACGATAGTTAATATAATTGTACTACTAATTTCTATTAGTTCATTGAAAGGAACAGTTAGCGTTCATATTGTTTGATCAATCTTACATGCCTATATCTGGTAATCTCATCAACTACTTTGAAGATAACAATATGCAGTATAATCAACCAATGTTAATTTCCTATCATCTTGCTTTGAAATTCAGTATTGTTTTTATAGTTTTTTATTCTCTTTAAAATAAAAAATTGAAAAATTAGAAAGGAAAAGATAGCATCCTTCTATCTCATATCTTAAACAACGATAGAGACTTTTTTTAGGGAAAGTAGGACATAAGGCTGAGCCTACAACAAATTTTTAATAAAACGCAAAAGTATGAATAGAGATTCATATTTATCATCCATTTGGTGCAGTTTCTTAATGGATATTTTTCCTTTCAAAGCGTTGCTTGAGTTGGACTTCTTGTACAATATTCTAGATATTCATTTCATTTGCAAAGGTTAAGAATGGGAATCCCTAGCCTGGTTGGACTGGCCTGCCTCCTAGCCCCACCTGAGTTCCAGATGGTATGCAATAAAGTGGCTCTGACTTTCTCCCGGTTTATTAGTGGCTTTGAGGCAGTGAAAGATCTGGGCTGCAGTGTTGCTCTGAACAAACTGCACCCCGTGTCGTCGATCGCTTTTACAGCCAGGCTTGACACATTCACTGTTTTCTTCCTGTTCTCCAACTTCCTTGGCCTCTGAGATTTACAGCTTTTAAAACCATAGCCCTCTTCTCTGCCCCTTGCATTTAAGTTAAAAGCTGACCAGTCTGTAATATAAAATGTAGAATTATGGTAATGAATAAGAGGTTAAAAGCTACCATGGCAAGTGAAACTTGCACAGGTTTGGCTGACTGATATGGTAAAATTATGTGTTGGATTAAAACGTTAAAATGCTGGGGGATTAATGGAGAAAGACAAGAATGGGAGGTCAGAAACAATGCTAAATCAGCACATTAGCTGCCTCTGAGTGGAAGCGGAAAGCTTTAATATATGCCTGTTGCAGAAAAAAAGTGATTTAGTCCTTGTTTCCTTCAGGTGAGTGGAACCAAGGAATTTTCAGTCTCGGAGGCACCTAGGAAATACATTTATTTCAATCTTTGCCTAACATGGAGAAGAAAAAAAAAATGTTAGCAGAAAACATTGACTTTATAATTTGAATGTCTTGGTTGTATGAATTTGTTTATGCCATGGCCATTCATTTCTGCATTAAGTTTTTTTCAACAAATAGAGACCCGATTGTGTATTGGGAAAGCTGAAAAGTACTGAGAATTCATTAGCCAGTGACAGACACAAGGGTGCTGTCTTTGAGCATGCGGTTTTGTGCTCCTGCATCTGAGCAGACAGTGGCAGTGGCATGGCATAGGGTCTGTGGATCCCAGCACCATGGAAACCAGTAGGACTTGGGGGAAGCGGGGATAGCTCCCTGGATGAACAGGAAGCTGGAAGTGAGACTTGTAAAGATATCCAGAGAGAGGGTAGGATAGATCCCTTCTGAGGAACTGGGGAGTACTGAAGAGGCTCAGAGATGCCTTGTAATAAAGAGAGGCGAGCAGGTCACAAAGCCATGGGTTTCTCTCTCATGAACTAGTGCCAGGGCAGCTCCTCCCCAGGTCAGACAAGGTATTAGTTTTACTTCCAAAGGTTATGATATGATATCATAGTGGCACTCCTATTAATTACACTTTCTACAATCTGATGTTGGAATGGGGACTGTCTGGTGACCTGGGGCATAGGGTATTGACTTCTGAATGGCTGTCCAGACATGATTATTCCACGTGCGTGTGAAGCCACGCAACATGCCAGGGAAATCAACCCAACTGGGTAATGCTCAGCATATTTTTTAGAGAGAAACTCTGAATGTGTGATTCCACACTGTTTCTATCAGGTAGAAGAACAATTGCACAAAAGTTATTGCTTTATCAGTTTTTATTAATAAACAGATCCTTGAACATTTTGGCCAGGGTGTCTTTGGGTATGGCAAGTTAAAAATTACTTTTCAAAGTTATCCTTAGATTAATATCTCCTATTGATGTGTTTAATATCAGTAACCACTTTTGCAATAAAAGAATGCTTCCATTCATGCAAATCAGGAGAGAGAAATTATCAGCATTTCCACAGGTCACAGTTAGGCATGCTAGAGCCCATGAGCCCAGTCCAGGTGAATGCCTATTTCCGTATATAAAGTTTCAAAAAAAATCTGGCTTTCTGGCAATAAGGGCAGAGTTGACCACAAATCAATATCTTTCTGGCCTTTCACAGAAAAATGGACAAGGTGTGAATAAAGCCTAGGCCCCGCCCATAACAAGTATAGGCTACTCCTGTGCCGCACCAGTTAGAGGTAGAAGCTAAAGTTGTGCCCTTCTCATAAGAAGTAGCTAAATTAGTAGCAGTGTTGGAAAAGAGCAAACGATCTTTCAGGTCTTCCGTAACAAAGAGAAAGAACTGAAAGACCATCCAAACCTTTTTGTAAATATTCTCTGAAAAGAATCTCATATACTAACGGAAAAGAGAAGACTGGATTCTCTTCTCAAGATTTTTAAAGATAAAACATTTTTGAATGTGTTACAAAACGTTAACATATTTAAAAATTTAGATATTAGGTCAGTTATCTTTCCAGTGCCATTTTTGATCATTTATCTTTGTAAGAGATGCTGATTGATGCACTTGATACTTTCCTCTTTTTGTTCTCATTTAAATTGTGGTAAAACTATCTGCAATTTAGAAGGAAAAGGTTTTAAAGTACTTTTCCCCTACTGCTTTAGGCTAATAATGCCTCTTCCTAGGTAGGGGTTAAGGCCAATCATTCCCTTGTCTATGGTTTACCCTCGGATCTTTTGGTTCTTCTACAAACATCAGGCCAAACTGGAACAATGTAGACTGTAGTTGAAATCAAAATACCATATAATAGCAGTTCTGAGAGAGGTTCATAAGAACTGTATTACTTCTTTCTTTAAGAATTAAGTAAGGAAAAAGTAAGTTGTTATTATTACTGGCATTTAAAAAATGAGCTAATGAAAGTGACTACCAGAGAAAAGTCTTATAAATCGGATCAATCATTTTATAAGAAAGAGCTTTATTAAGAGAAAATGTATATAACAATGTTAAACAATAAAGTATTCCTAAGCACACATACTATTGCAATATTGGTTAAGAGTGTATGAATTCAAAATTTTGTAGAAATGCATCCAGAAGTTGATATTTCTGTTCTATCAACCAGACTAAATTCTCTTCTTACATAACTGCTTATGAAATAAAAATATTAATTGGCCTCTCTTTTCATGGTTAGTAATATTTTTCTTTTTGTTTTTCTTTCTTTCTTTTTTATTTTTTTTGAGATGGTGTCTTGCTATGTAGCTTAAGCCAGACTTGAACTTAGTATGTAGTATAGGCTGGTCTTGAACATGCAGTGATCCTGGCATAAGCCACCGTGCCCAACTATATTTTAACTTTAGAAGGTTCTTTATTGCTAGAGAACATACTGTTTTGATTTAAAGTATAAACCTTGTATAATATGTATATATTTATAACCTGTTTCCCATAGATTACTTGACAAATTCATTATACGTAAAAGTAATCGCTACTTCCTCTGAAATGTGGACACACTTTGGGTAAATGGGAAAAAATACCCATATATATATATTTAATTTTACAGGCACAGATCAATATGTGTTTTTTGTCTTATAGTAAAAGTTAGTATACATTTTAATGTAATTGATTTTTCCCATTTTAATTAGGAAGCAGATTTTAATTTTGGATATATTAAACTGGCACATTTTTTCTACATATGCATATAACTCAAAATCATTATGGCTTAACATAATATACAGGTAAAGGTTGTGTATTTGTAGTTGTCTGCTAGCGTACATATGAATTCCATATGAGGATTTAGAGTTAGCATGCATCCTGATTGCTCTTTGTGAGAGGCAGTGCTTCTATTCCTAAAGTCTTGAATATTCATCATATCTATAATTGTGGAGAACAAAAGAGAATTTCATTAAAAAGTTACATGTAAGAAGCGCTATTGCCTGCCCTCCTCGGCCCCGCGTCTTCACCCACTTGCGTTGTCCATAAACGTAGGAGGTGTGGTCCACATAGACCCAGAGCTTTCAGTGCTAAAGCAAATAAATGGCTTAGTACCTCGGCCCACCCCCCCCCACCACCCTGTGGTGTTTGCTTCTGTATTTAAATGTGTTTGAGGTTTTCCACGGCTCCAGAACATTGGCTGTTAAAAGGCAGAAAAAATGCAATTTATAGCAGATGGGTACAGCCCTTCCTGGCGGTGCTGCCGAATGGGGATCAATCAACCCCATACTTCATGCTTCTTTTCTCCAAAAGAAACCCACCTGAGAAAACACCATGGAACCATGCCTATTAGGAAAACACCTTAACATGTTTCCTTAAATAAAAATTCACTGGTTGGCATTAATTGAAAAGAAAATGCTTTCTCTGTTAACCCTCTCCCATTTACATTTCTCTTGTGTTTTTTGTCCTGTCTTCTTTGTGAATCATGATCTTTCATTCTCTTTGCTTATACAAGCCACAGCTCCTGGAAGCCATTTAGAGCATCCATTATGATGTTGATACCTTGGAACTTTTTTCTCCCTAATTCTTGAGATCATTGTCTTTCTGCAGACTTTATTGAGCAGAAGACAAGACTTACCAATTTTCTTTTGCCATCTGCTGATCTTGCCTTCTTTTTGATTTTCTCTGCCCTGTTCTGTCTTTAATTTTGGAATGCACTATGTTAGGAGAGAATGTTTTGCGGTGAGAAAAACCCTTGAAAATGTCACTGCTCAATAAACCTAAGCCCAGACAGAATGAAGTTTGGGGGTGATGAAATACATACATACAAAATAGGTGCTTTGGAGATTCCACCTTGGCTTTTCGTTGATTATTTTTCCTCGTCTGACTCTTGATATTTTTTCAAGGTGTAAAGTGGATATTGCCGCACTCCCGTTGAAGCAAGACAACTGTCTTGAACTGCCGCTGGAGAGCTGCCTGGGGGCGCTGCTCCTGTTGATCACCCTCACGCCCTGCGCGGGAGTCTCCGTCTCTGATCTATGCGTCTGCCCCTTAGCGGACCCAAGTGAAAGAAAGCAGATTTCCCAGCGATATGTGAGTGCCATGCCTGCGGACGCGGGTTCCCCTTCCCCCTCCTCCTACACCCACTTTTAAATTGAAAGGAAGTCTATGAATTGAGAAACTACATCAACAAGAGATTTTTGTCCCAAGTTTAATTGTGTGTCTCATAAAACAAGACCTCAGACCTGTGGGTTAATGCATTAGTGAGAAGGTGAAAGGCAACTTAGAGTTTGCCCTGAATATTTCGCTTTTAGGAAGTCTTTTGAGAAGACCATAATCCCCAAGGAAGGACTCTAATATGTCCGTAGATGGAAATGGGAATTTTCATAGAAGATCAGAAAAGTCACTTTTTAAACCAGTTAATAATGTTTGTAATGTTAAACTTCGTAATATATTTTTAGGATCAAGGGAGAACATGCTTCTATCTTAGCAAAGTGTGAGACTGGTAGGAAGAACCACTTTATACTACTTCTGAAGATGACAGTGTTAGTGTTAGAAAATCACTTTCTCTTACTTGCAGTTAACCATCCACTCAGCATTTTTAAATTAAATGGCTGTGTCTTCTTCATTTATTTCTTTGTAATCTGGCTTTCTAGGTGTCCTTATTTGCATTTGTTTTTATCTCATCTTTGTAAATCAATACATTTACTTTATTGCTGTAAAAGGAAGGCATGTTTTAAGCAAGTGACATAGGATGAAGCAAAGATGAATCCCTAATTAATAGTTATACCACTGTCAGCATAAACTTCAGTGCCCTGGAGTGTTTCATTGTTTAGGTATATTGATTAACTGAGTAATTCTTTATCTGGAGGAGTAAACTGACTACGTGTCTCATTGTCAAGAGTTTAGACAGTATTCATTGTTGATATTCTGATGATTTTACTTAAGCAAAAAGAAATTGGATTATGAATATAAAATATTCCCTGAAATTTCCCATGGACAAATTGCAAAATTTATGATATTCACTAGGCATGTTTTCATTGACAGAGTAGCATTAGATTACATCATGATGGCTAATTTGAATAATGCTTTAGGATTGGAGGAATAATAACTGAAAAAAAGTTTTGGAAAGGCTCTAATGAAAATGGAAATGCTCAGTGTTCCTTCAGCTAGAAAGTTGGCCACCCTGTTGGAAGGAAAGACTTCTGTGGTACAAGACAGAGATTACAGACTCCTGCATTTGTTTTTCAAACTTTCAGAATAGGGACTGGGGATTTAGCTCAGCAGCACAGTGCCTGCCCAGCAAGCACAAGGTCTTGAATTCAATCCCTGGTACGGAAAAAAAAGCCAAAAAAAAAAAGAAAAAAGTAAATAAAGAATAGGCCTTCCTTGAAGGTACAGAAAAAATTGTAATGTGTTATATACATATACCAATTCCTATAATGTAATCATTATGTACTGCAAACATGCGTTAATAAAAGTAGAATATAAAAAGATATGAAGGTTAAAAAAATACCTTAGTTCAATTGCTTTTATCTGTGCTTAAGAACTAGCTGGAAGATTGGTTGGTTTGTGTTGACAATACAGAGGAGAAACAGTTTTTGAAATTTCATAGGAGTGATGCATATTAGGTCAGGAAATTCTCAATTATTATTAAGGTTTTTCTATTAGACTCTGAAATACCTACATACCAAAATTTTGCTCTCTTTCCATAAATCCATGGGGTCTGCTCATGAGAACAGTATATCTAAAGATTCAAAAACAGCATCTTTTTAAATGATGCTTGTGTTCTGTATGTGTGAAAAGAATGCTTATGTATTTTACACACAATTTATAAGGGATGCCATATCTAAATACCTATATGCATACATAAGCTTAAAATTTATGCTTAAGAATGACTAGCTTGGGTACATTTATGCTGTGGATCATTCAAGCTGCTCATTAGAGAAAATAGGAATATAGAAAATATAGGGTGATAATAGATCCTAAATTCCTAATTTAATTAACTGGCTAACCATAGACCTGAAAATTCATTCTATTTTCCTTCTTACTCTCTTTCTAGTGATAATAAATATCTGTGATGGGCCCAAGTGTAGTCCTCTGGTATCCATAAAGTTTGTACTAACTAGATCAGGATAATGTTTCCTTTTAGAGTGATTTAAAAGTGACATTAAAGAGAAATAGGGGAAAAAAAGAGAACGAATGTAATTCTAGCCACACATTTTCCCAGTGGGGTATCTGTACTAACACCAGGGGGCGATGTTAAAAGTAGATTGTATGTGTTTCTAATTTGTTTATTTTGTAGTTAATTAATTCTCAGGCACTTTTCTTTTAATCCGGCTGCTGTAAATGCCTAACTGTCCCGCTGACTGACATAATTCAACAACTTTTAAAAGAATTTCATAAGACAGGGAGGGAAGATCTGGAGGGTACTTCATATAGGACTTTATAGCATTGTGCATGTATTAGAAAACTATTTTCACTTGTGATCTCTTTTTTTCCTACTCAGTGTCTACAGAACTCTTTGAAAGATATGAAGGATGTTGGGATTTTACAAGTAAAGGTATTAAAGGCAGTAGATCTCTTAGCAGCGGATTTCTCAGGTACGGAATATTTTCATTTCTTAATTTTGTTATTCATTTCCTGTTTTGACGTCATAGCAAAACAAACTTTCTGATAAATAGAAGTATATAGTAATCATGCACCTTTAAGTATGGTAACAAGAGAAGAAAGACACAGAGTTGAGCAATTGTTTTCTATACTGCACATTTTTCACAAAATTGTTTTCTCAATAATTTTATTCTGATTCAGTCATGTGCTAGTCATTTGTGATTCAGAGTTATTTGTGGATGTATTGTCAAGGCTTCTTGTTTGTTATATGAATTGTTTTCTCAAGCTTTGCTATGGTACCCCAAATGACAACTTCTCAAATTTACACATTTACGCTCCAGCTCTTGTGCTGAATGGGACATAGTCCTCATAGCGGAGAGCCGGTGGTTCACAAAGCAGATAAAACTGCCACCTCAGTGCGACATGACCAGTGTCTAGGACCTAAGACCATGTTGTCATTAATGCACACACTCATGAAGTCTCTCTAGGTGCTTCAGGAACTTGAACAGTCAGATGGAGGTCACAGCAGACCTGCTCTGTGGTGAATTATGCTTTGCCATGCGTAGAGCCATCCAGATGGTACAAAGTCTGATCAATGACTTTCTAGCCAATGCCAAATTACCTCCTTGTGCTGGATGATGATTCAGATGCCTATGTGACAGTCTATGTAGAACATAGCTTAAATAATACAAAGAATATTGTACAGCATGGGTCTATTGATGCGGTGCTAGATTCTTTTATTGTATCACATTGTTAGAATGTGGCTTACCTTTTTTTTCCCCTATGCAGAATGATTGTCCTGTATTTTTATAACTTACACATTTATGAAACTGAGTTTGAGGATGCTCAAACTTTGGAAAATTGAATGTTGATTATAAACACATAGTATTACAAAAACTATGAAAGCTATAAACAATTTTTTAAAAATGTTCTCCACACCCTACCTCAAAGAAGGCACCAATAAGAATGACTCTTCCACAATATCCTTATATAAGCTGATCTCCACCTTAGGGAAGTGCCTAACGGGCAGATCCAAAAATATAGACGTTTTAGAGACTATAGGTAAAATGCTAAAATATTTACTTTTACTACCCATTAAACAGTTGCAAATGTTTAGAATCTCATATTCATTTAGAAATTCTCCTGTCTTTTTGTTATGTTTTATGAAAACATTCAGTATTTCATATGTGCCTTTCACAATTGAAATGCTTGCAATATTGGTGATTTTATTATAGTTTAAAATATATTTAGAGGTTCCAGCCCCAGTGAGTTTTTCTTCTATGTGTTTAGATGTGAGCTTTTTGGAATGCACATTTGTTACTACTATCTCAGAAAATGTCTTAAGTACCAAGAAGTTAAATATGCCTTAAGGTGTATTTTTTTTTTTTTTATAAACTTCTTCTGATTTTGTAGTTATTTGATCTCTGGTAACTCATTATAATGCATTCAAAATTCATTTTGCTAAAGGCTTATTTACAATGGCATCCCTATATGGAAAGACTTATTTACAATCTATTTCAGTATGCCAATCCTACCAAGTATGATCTGTTCATCAAGCCACCACAATACTATTAGTGAGAGTTACGTCAAGTCAGTATATCTTCTCCAAAGAGTACTTAGACTATTAAAATAAATGAGCTGGGAAAAGGGCTACAAAACAAGAATTTGAAAATATTAGAATATAAGGCAAAATGCTCTTTGTGGGAGAATGATTTTTTGATATAGAAATGTTACCATTTGATTGTTTTCTTTATACTCGGGATAGTTAGTAGATAACTTTGGAGTGATGATGGTGAATATAAAAGTATTCCAGTGTTCAAAAGCAGTAGTTAAAAATGAAATGATATGTGGCTTGACTAAATGCTGTGGTGTTTTACTATCTCTGTATTGTTTATGGGAAAATAATCGTTGTCAGATATTTCAGTCTAGGGTCACTTGGCCACATTGCTCTTGGCCTGTGGTGAGGTGGACCATGATGGGGGGGTGTGTGTATGAAAGAAAAAAGCTGCTTGCCTATGACAGCCAGGAAGCAAAAATACAGCCTTCAAGGGCATGCCCCTCAGGACCTGCTTCCTCCAGTCAGGCTTGACTGCTAGATTCCCTTTACTACCAATATCCCAGGAAATTATGGATACATCCAGGGAGCCTAGCACCTTTCACAGGCCTTACCTCTGCACATGACTGCCTTGGGGAACCTAGCCTCTAACAGGAGCTTTGGGTGGACATTTCAGGTCCAAAATGTAGCACCAAGCCACACAATATCTGGTAGTTCAAGGTTGTTTCTCCTAAGATTCAGGAATCCTTATAAAACCAGGGTGGAAGGGTGTAGCCAAGTCTTGAAAGCAGTCCACAGAAGGTAAGAGTCGCTGTGTGTAGGTTGCGGGGACCTGAGTACTCCAGAAGAAATGAATGCTTGTGGTGAGAACTCTCGTCAGTTGCTTCCTAGTTTTTTTTTTTTTTTTTAATGGAAAAAAATAAAACAAAATTTCAAAACAGAATGATCGAATACATATAGTTAATACATTGCAAATTGTTATCTTTAAAGTAGTTAGAGTAGAAAATACGGATAAAAGATATTCTCCCAATGATATTAGCACAAACCTTTCTTTTCAATGAAGTAAGAGAAGCTAGTAGATAACTATCTTGTACTTTTTTTCCTTTTCCCTTCCTTCCTTTCCCCTTCCCAAGAGTTCCTAGTTTTAAAAACCATCTATCTCTTTGCAAGTAACAATTAGAAAAACAAAATATGGATTGTTCATGCCTCTGTGATCAAATTATAATATTCTTCATTACTTGTTATTGATGCTATGATTGTATAGTTATAAAAAAGAAATTAAAACTGAACACTTGTTATTGTGCTAACATTTTAAAATACGGAATAAAATGTGTATAATAAAGTTAAATTCTTTTCCATAAAAATGTTTTACTATATGAAAGAAAATTTACCTTTTCAAATGTTGCAGAAGATATTAAGAACTAAAGTCTGTGTACATTATCAATATTAAAATATTTACAGGAGATAAGTGCTTTAGATTTGTAAGGTATAAAATACATTTACTTTTAAAATTACTGATGAATTCTTTTTTAAATAAGACACTTCATTTTGTGATTGAAAACATTCATCATGAATAAATTTAAATTCCTTTGTATGACATTTTTAGAATTTCTGAAATTGTATCTAAGACAAAGAAGACTTTTAAAAAGTCTGTGATCACTTACAGTTTCTTATTTCACAGTACATCCCTCTCAAGCTTGTGAGAGACACTTCAGGGGCCTCAGTTCTGTGCCAAAAATAGATGTGGATAGCTATAAACAGTTACTCTAATAGAGGAGCCTGCCAAATATTTTTCTTGAAAAGATACCTTCTTTAAGTAATAAGTTATTTGGCCTGATATCATTACTTCTGTAGTAAGCAGGATGCAGTCTTGATTCATGAAATGAATGATGTTCTGTGCCTGGACGCTTGGGTGAATGTGATGTGTAGGTTTGATGAGACCGACATACTTCACTCAGGTTCAAACTCAGCCATTTAAAGAGAAATTACTCACATTCTACATGATTAAAAGGAGGAGAGGGAGCTGTTTTGTTCTGGATGGAGCTGAAAATGGTCCTTACAACAGCTTCTGTTCCCACAGTCAAAGCCCACACAGAACCCTGCTCTATATTCTCGTTTGCCCAGAGGCATTTCAAATTCCTGGATTAATACTGCTGAGAGAAAAGACTCTGCTTATCTTATAAACTACGAAAGATAACTAAGAACATATTGCATAAGTTTTTCAGGCGTTGAAATCCTTTTCTGGTGAGAATTATAAGAACGCTCACCTTCCACTTGTTATTAGCCAATGAACAGTGGGAAACTCTCATGCCGTGCTCAGCATATGCTTGCAGAGCTGTTCAGCAGAGCCCTGTCATAATTGGTAGAATATTGTGACTTGCAAGGGTTAACTCAGCATGTCATTATTGAAAACATCTCAGCTGCTATTTGTATAATTTGTATAATGCATATGCCAAAAACCAACATCTAGTCAATGACTCTTCTCACCTTCTTAGGATGAAATGCCTATATAAAACGTCCAGCTTTCTATAACTTCATCTTTCTCTTTGTTCTTTAAAAATAATTCTTACATAGATGTTTCCCTCTCCCAAAAGAGTCTTCTGGTGGTAAATTGGGTTATTCTTACCTCCCTTTGCTTTATCACACAAACTTTTCCCTGATAAGTCTGCTGGGATGGGTCCTGGCTATTAAGAATCCTGCCATGATACAAGGGAGGTAGAAATGTAGAAGATCTTGTTTTCTTTAACTTGTCGTGCTAGTAGTAGTACAAAGGAAATAGTCCATGCCTAGCTCAGTGTAGGATGATATTAAGTAAATTAACAACAGAATACATCACAATCCAGTACACTCTTCTCTCTTTTAGTAGCACGATCCCCTCCTCAGTTTTCATGTTCTAGTATTTCTAATCCTCCATATGCCATGATAAGAATCTGAGGAATTAAAGGAATGAAAGAACAAAACTGGAAATACCATCACTATTTACAATTTGGAGCTACCTGTCCTCAAAAAAAAAAATTACAAGGATTTTTAGTTTCCACCTTGAGATTTTGGGCATATTTTGCATACAAAAAGTTAGTCATCAACCACAAAAAAGTTTGCAAATGTATGAGGATCCACTCAACTCTTGGCTGCAAGATTGTCACTTGGACCATTTTCTGTTGCCAGTGTTAATCAATAAGACACAACCAAATAATGAAAGTTGCAAAACGTCAGAAGAATGGTCAAGACAACATATTTTCAGGCAAGAAATACAGGTTATTACGAGGTAGACTTACTTGATAAATAGGCATGTTTGGGGCAGTACCAGCGTCTGATCCAGAAGAACAAAAATACATTTAATTCCAGAACCTCCTGCTGATTTAGACAGAATCAGTGTAAGTTCTTGTCTCAGTTACTTTTCTCTCATTGCTGGGACAAAATACCTGGCGCCCAAAATGA